TTACGGATTATAGGCCTGTAGATATGAATAAATGTTGTAAGGCTTATATTGTACTGTTTACGCTTTTAATCTGTATCGAACATGACATCCCGAGGTTTTTAATGAAATACATTTCTTCGGAAATGCTTTGATAAATCTTTATCATATTTTATTTTGGGAACAAATTCCGCAACACTTTTATTTAAAATCTTACTCTGATTTTCAAACAAAGCATAAACAAAATCGGTCTTTTCTGGCCGTGAAAATGGGGATGTCACATATATGTGGTCTCTTTTCAACGGATCTCTAAACTTCCTTACCAAATCTTCTTAAATATCTTTCCATTCTTTGACACCAGTGATGATATTTACTTGCAACCAGTATTAGAGCTCAATTAGAACCTCCAACATCGTTAGATACATTTAATGAGTAAAGTAGTGCCATTTTCCTTAATTTGTGAAAAAGACGAGCTAAGTGGTATAGATGACCTTTTAAATAAGAGTTTTTTTTATTTAGAAAAGATTATGTATTTTCAAAGAAGGTTAAAAAGCAATCTGATACCAATAGTTTTTTTTAGAACGATGGTGATATATTAAAGAAAAAACAAAACTAGCAAGACGCTAGAACAAGGAATTACAAGAAACAGTTTATCAAAGGAGAACAACACCATTGCTGCTAATCAATGTTCTCAAAATTAGACCTATTCTTAATCCAATTAAAAGTGAAGTTTTGAATGTCATATGCCGTTTTTAAGGGGCTCAAATTAACTTTCTTGGAAATGAGCCAATTTCAAGCCTTCCGTATAAGCCACAAAGTCGTGTAGACCAACGAAAGCCTAAGGAGGAAACACCTTTTGTTACGAAGAAGAGAGTTGAGTAGCAGGAGGAGATCACTTACATTGACCAAACTATGGGGGAAAATAGACATCCACGAAACCAACCAATTCCAAATAACTATAGTAAAGTTACATCCAAAGAAAACATGATCAACATGGTCGTTATCCTTGTTACAGAAACAACATAAATTCGAAGCAACTTGTACTCCCCTCCTAATAAGATTCCATGAAAGAGGAATCTTGTTCTTAAGCAACCGCCAAACAAAACAGTTAACTTTTAACGGGATCTACCGTACCCAAATAAAACTTGAATCGGTAACACTCAGATCAATGTCAACCACCAAACTCCTCAAAGACTTGACCGAGAAATTGCCTTGTTTATCCCCAAGCCATTGTCATCTGTCTTCGCCTTTAGAAAAATGAAAAGCATCAATGGAGACAAGCAAAGCTTCAAATTGGATCATTTCTCTACCTCTTCTTAAATCATGACCCCACTGCCCAATAAAGTGGGAACTCAAATCATCTTCAATTTTGATCCTCTCGATAATACTACAATTCTTATTTTGATTAACCACATACAAATTAGGATATTTATATTTAAAAAGGCAAAGAATCATACTAAAAATCCTTCCAAAAAGGGTATCATTACCCACGCCCACCACCCTCTCAAAGAGGCTTTCAAGAGAGATACCTAAACCTTCAAACTTATCTTTGATATTCAAAATAGACAACCACACTCCTGATATTCAAACTTATCTTTAATACATCTACACTAAAGATTATTTTGATCAATCTTTAACCACCACCACCATTTAGCAAGAAGAAAGAGATTTAAAGAATTTAAACAACCCACTCCAAGAACCCCTTTCGATTTAGGCTGAGTGACCAAACTCCACAAAGCCCATGAGATTTTCTTCTTATCCATACCACCACCCTAAAGAAATCTTCACCGAATCTTATCAAGCTCCATAATTATTTTTTTAGGGTATCGGAATAAAGAAACGTAAGCCGACCTCCAAAAGAAAGATTTCTAGCTTTCCATTGCTTAACTTCGCCTTAAATTTCTCGAGAATAACGTTCCAATGCTTTCCAAGTCTCATGTTAGCACCAATAGGAAGACCGAGATAGATAAAAGGGAAAGAGGAAGGTTCACAATCTAAGATGCTAGCAAGACGATTAATTTCCAAATTCTCAACACCTACACCGTAGACCTTACTTTTATGAAGATAAATCTTCAACCTTTAAGCAAGAAAGAAACATCTAAGAAGTCGGTTAAGATTAATAATACTCAACTCAAACCAGTCCCCCATGAAAATAACGTCATCTGCATACATAAGATGGGTCAAAGTTGGACCGCTATTTAGAAGGGAAATTCCCAAAAAATTGATGCATATCACACGTTGCCCCCATAGCAACGTGAAAACCTTCCATCGCTATAATAAACAAAAACAAAGAAAGCGGTTCACATTGTCTAACACCTCTTTTAATGTCAAATTCGTTGGTCGGAGAGCCATTGACCAAGATGGAGACTCTACTAGAAGAAAGATAACCCCAAATCCAATTTCTCCATTTAACTCCAAAGTCCATTTGCTCCATAATCGAATAAAAAAACTTAATTTAAAGAATCAAAAGCTTTTTCAAAGTCAACATTATAAATCAACACCTTAGCTTTGGCTTTCTTTGCCCATGAATAAAGCTCATTAATCATGAGAGGGTCATCCAAAATACTCCTACCTGTAACATACGCCGATTTCTCATGGCTGATTATACTCTTCATAACTGTTTTAAGCCGAAGAGATAAAATTTTGGAAAATTGAGAGAAGAACTTAATGATAAAGAGATTATGGTGCGGAATTTAAGTTAATCTCATGTATCTTTGATAAAGCTTAACAATAAAAGATATCGGAATTATAAAGGAAACACAACAACAACATATATCATTAAATGTAAACAAGTTAAAGAGATACTTGTTGAATCATAACTTGGTTTGCAATTAAACACAAGTCATTAAATGATGAACAACAAAGTATGAACAAAGAATCGTGAATGATAAGGAGACTTTTATTTCAAACTGATAAGGTTATAAGGAAGATGGAATCATACACACTTTCTAACGTTTACAAGACTGTCTATTTATAGAAGAAAATAGTACAAGTCTATAAATAAGATAATACAAAAGTAATTCTGATTTAGGCAATCATGCTTCCCACGATTGGGACTTGCAAAACCAACCTAACACACAAAGTTATAAAAGGTGATCATTACTTTTCTGACATTGCGGTATCCACAACAGACAAGATCTTTTTTCTTCACTTCGCACTTTCTTCCTTATCCCCGGTCTCTCTAAGGGGCTGTTTGATTTGCTTCTGACCGGGTCCAGTCAGACATTTTGGTTGACTCGGTCCGGGTCAGTATGTTTGATTCGTAAATAATCAGACACTCTAGATGACCCGGTCAGTTGTTTTGCTCTGACTCGGTCGATCTAAAAAATGAAGCTGACTGGAAGGAGAGACTCCTTTTCCCATTTGGCCCTTCCCTTTCTCTTTGAACGGAGTTCACTCCATCCTCTCCATCGCATTTCTCTCGATCATCTTCAGTCTTCAACATTGTTAACCACCTCTTCCACCGCCGTTCTCTCCAACGTCGATAACCTCCTCCACCGTTGTTCTCTCCAGCGCCGACCACCTCCTCCGCCACCATCCTCCCTATCGCATCTCATTTGGGGTTTGTGATTTCTCACAACGATTTCTCAAATTTTCAAAGAAAATTAAGGTTTTTGATTCGATTTAGGGTTTCTGATCTCAAGCTTTTTATTTATATTTGGGGTTTCTGATCTCAAGCTTTTTATTTTGATTTTTAGATCACAAATTTATAATTGCTCAACTGATTGGAACTGTGAATTGGTTAAGCAATTTCAATTGTCTTGGTCAAATAAGCTTATGTTTCGATTGGTTCTAAATTATTCTGAATGAAACGAAAGTCATGAATTGAGGGTAAAAAGATTTATTGAATTGGTGTGCAAAATTGAATTGGTGGTCTTCTTCTCAACCTGCTTTGCAAAATTGAATTGGTGGTCTTCTTCTCAACCTGCTCTACAATTAAACATTGTCTACATGTTGGTCCTGTTTATCTCTAATGGAATATGCTTTTCAGGTTTGTTTATCTCATATGTTTTGGGTGACAAAGACTCGTTAATGAACACCGGGTGTGATGGCAGTAGAGCATGTTTAAATAGTAGATGTTTGTGTAAACAGGTGGCTCTTGTTTCTTTATGTATATGATCTAAATTTGATGACAATGGTGTCTGATCTTTCATCAATAGTGTGTGCTTTTATCCTTTTTAAAATACATTTTAATGTTGTTGATTTAGTACTTTTCCTTAAGTCGAATATCTAGAAGTTGATTGGGAAAACTTCAAATAGTGGTTACATAAATGGTCTATGGAATGGAAAAGTTGATAAATTGAGTTGGGTAGTTGTACATTCTAGTTAAAACAAAGTTGTTTTATGTAAAGATTTATGCTTTAAAACACTCAAATGATTGAAATCATCCTCTATATACAGAACAGGTAATCATTTATGATTTATTGCATGTGTATATGAAACCAATAGACCACACAAAAGTTGTAAATCTTTAATTTCTTTATTTTTTACTAAATTGTAATGCTATAACTTAAATGGTAAATCATAAAAAATTATTATAAGAAAATGTCATTTGAGGGTAATATAGTCATTTTGCACAGTCGGTCAGATGCAAAATCAAACACCAAATTTCAGTCAGAAGTTAACTCAGTCAAAACTTCTAACCTATGCATCTTCTAACTCAATCAGCTCTAACACAGTTAGCAATTATCAAACAACCCCTAAGTCTTCAATCAAAACCATACAAATCATCGCTATCACATCTCAATAAAACACTTTGCTATTCAGTCAATCAAGTTTTCACATTACTGATACACTCCAACTGTCGAGGGTCACTTTGGTGTATCAATATTTTTATTAGGTAGGGGATATGTGTAAGTACCAAAAGAATGATATATAGCCGGACAATATATGAGAGTGATATAATGCCCTTCACTTAAGATGGTCGATTGTTGGAAAATTAGTTCTTAAAAATAAATAAATAAATATTCAATTATTTGGAAATTTTGTTCTTAAAAATAAATAAATAAATGTTTCCGGAGTCAATGCCTTGCAGCTCAAGTGTCAAAAAACGCTTAATGGGACATCGGCCCAACCCCGAACCTAGTCACAAACACATAAGCGAACTAATAACCGATTTTAACCCATTTTTCCATCTCCTTCTCTCGACGTTTCTGGAAGCTAGGGATTCTATTGCCCTTTGTGCTCAACAATCGGAAATCTCAGGTGAACAAATATCTGATAGGCCTTCTCCTTTGCATTAATTCGAAGATTCTTATTGCTTTTCATTCCTTAACTCGATTTTTATTCCATAGTTTGTGTACAATTTTCGTATCAAGAAAGAATTAGGTTTCATATATCTTCCAATCGCAAGTTTCTACGATTTTTTTTTTGATTTCATCAATTTGTAACATCGTTAATCTATCTGGCAGCTAGCGAGGCTGTGTTAGATCATGGCGGGAGGAAATTTTGTGCAGCGTGTTATGTCTTACCTTGTTAATGAGATCCTCGTCGACAGTCTTGCCAACAGGTGATCTTTTTCTCTCTGTCTTCTGAAAGATGGCGTTAATCTCTTTGTATTCAATTCACTTTCGTACGATTTGAGATACTAATGATTTCAAAAATACGGTAAAACAAATTCATTTTAATAGTTTTGGATGATTATATTAATTTAGGACAAGGTTGGTTCATATTGCAATTAAATATCCAAATATTCTTTTGTTGCTCTCCTTAAAGATGAAGAGTCTAGAGTTTTAGGTATGGAAGTATATGCTGACTTTTTATTACTCAAACATGACAATAACATAGATGAAAGTTCAATAGAGAACAATGCCATATGGTTGTTTTGGAATCATTTCACTCAGACAGATAAATAAAATGTGAATAGGATACAAATGAAGGCCTTGTTTTTTTTTCCTCCTTAAGTTTGGTATCCATTAGGTCGTTATTTTCTGCATTAAGTCATGTCCCTATTAAGTCCATTAAGTCAATTTCATATGTATTTTTTCAATTGTTGAGAGACTTGTGTATGGTATGGTATTGGTCCATGAACAATGTTACAAAAACTCTGTTATTGAAATTCCATATTCATAAATATAGTTACATGGTGATCAAACACAATTTTTTTTTTTGTGATTCTACTTTTCTTACATGAAGTTGACAAATGTGTTATTGGTATTTGTATGTGGTTTTTCAGCCGAGCATTTCAACGATTTGCAGTGAAGACTTCAAAGTCAATGGAAGAAATGTCAAGCATAGGTACATTCATGATTCATACACCCTCAATTAAATTAGAATGTATAATAATAAATGTAACCAAGTTTTTCATCTCTTGATTTGGTTTTTGGGCAGCTGCAAAAAAGAGACAAGAAATTGCTGACCAGGTGAAGGAAATGTCTCGCAACTTTGAGGTGGGATTTTTATTTGATTCATTCGGGCTTTCTTTGTTACTCAAAAAAAAAAAAAAAAAAAAAATTGGGTGGGATAAAAAGCTGCAATTTTTGTCCTATTGACACTGGTCCCAGTCTAATGCGTGGCAAATGCAGTATAATCTGGCATTAAGGTTGTTAAGAAGCATATCTCATTTTTGTTTTTTGTGTGTTGCAGTCCAAGAACCGTTGATGGTTGTTTGTGGAAAAAGTTTTGCGGTCAAAACCTGTAAGCTCACGGAAGCATTTAGGTTATTGACAAGACACTCTTTTTAATACAACATTATCACTTTGTAAATTATGGGTTGTATTATTAAACCAAAATATTTAGAATTCTAAACCATTTAGACTGTTGAATTGCAATGTCTTTTGATGAAGTTTTTTGTTTGAATAATGAATTCTGAAATTTGAATTCTTAATTTTGAATTGTATACCATTTTTGTTTAGACCTTATTAGTTATGGAGGGGTGACAAACTGTGCATAATAATTAAATTGAGTTTTGCATATCAAAGAACTAATTTGTCAAACTACTAGTTTCATACTTAAACGTTTAATATTTGTATTTGCTTTCATATAAATATTATGATCTGGTTCAAAATTCCATGGACTTGAAACTAAAAAATATTTAATGGTGATTTGGAGTTTTAAATTGTCACTTTGACCTAGAATTTGCAATACTTTTCTGTTTCTTGTAGCCATTGGACTGGTTAAACTTTGATTGTTCATACCATTTGTTTGAACTTCGAATCAAATAAGTTAATGATTTTATTATATTTCATGCATAACTAATCTAGCTTTTCCTATAATATTATAACTTGCAAAACTAAATTTTCAAATTAAAGCACCTAACATATAAATCAAGTTTACCAACAAAAGTTAACAATCTTAACACAAACATACAAAAGTAATTATCGTAACACCAAAAATCATTGTTTAAAATTTAAAATCAATCAAGCTAACAAAAGTCATAATCTAATCTTCCATTGGCATTTTCTCCATATCATTGTCATTTAAATCTAACATGTTTAAGGCTTGTGCAATCTCCACATAAACACAAAATGAAAATGTTGCTAGTATTTAATAAAAATTAATAATTCAAAAACTGAAATATTTCAGTTTTGATATTCCAATTTCGAACGGTTGTAACTTATTGAATATAACACCAAAAACAATAAAATTATAGTATAAATTCATCTCCAAACTCTAACTTACACGTTGGAAAAAACCGTATATCAATCCGACTTAAACGAATGAAATATGCTTGTTTAAAGAGTTTCACAGAATACAAAAGTGTAAATTTCTTGCTGAAAAGCTGAAATATTTTATCTTTGATATCTCATCTATGAACAATTATAACTCATCAAATATAACACCAAAAACAACAAAATTAGTCTAAAATCATTTACAAGCTTTAAATTACACGTTAGAACACGTCAATCCGACTTAAAATGAAATATTTTTGTTTAAAAAATTTCATAGAATACAATTTTTTTAAATAAGCCGGTTCAAAACCGGTTTTTACCCGGAACCAGCCAGACCAGACCGGTAAAAAGCCGGACCGGTTTTACTCAAATCCTAGAACCGAGAACCGGCCCGGATCAGTCCACAGGCCCAAATGTTCACCCCTAACGTGTGGTATTGTTTCGTGCTTATCAAACCAAACATGAGCTAGTATTGTTTCGTGCTTATCAAATCAAACACGAACTGAATCCCATTTATCAAATCAAAACATGTCACTATATGAATATATAATTGGAACAAGTTCTATGTAATTTTTAGTGATGGGGATAGACTTGCACATATGAGAGTCCAAATCTTGCGTTTTAAGGGGAGACAATTTTAATTTTTTGTCACATACATCAAATCAAATAGTGAAATAGGCATAAAAAAGAAAAGCAAATGGCCACATCGTAAAATGTTCATAGCACACCAATCGCACTACTACTCAAAGACTGATTAAAACATATTATACATCTCAGAGCAAGTGTATTAACGCAAAATCATCTTTGGGATTATTATTATCTTGCTTTATATAATTATATTTGGAGTGGTCCTTAACAACCTCACATTACGTTATAATTTACAGTTTACACTTGTGTTGACCTAAAGCTTTCACTGAACTTCTGAGTTGACCCACATTAGCTCTTAAGCTTTAGGGCGTGTGATTGAAGAAGGAAGCTAAGTCTCAATGTATTCAGGCAAACGCACCTTCCCTAGATATACCTGTTGCATCTCCTCTCTCCAAATCTGGGTATCAAAATTCAATCATGTTATCTTTTTTCACTTTAATAATCCATATATTCAATAAAACAAATATATTATGTAATTTGAACCATACTAACCATGTCACGAAATTCAAGCCGAATATGTGGCACATTTGTCTTGTGAATATCATTCCCATCTGGTCCTCTCTTGTAATACTCCGGCCCAATCCAATGCGACTGCAAAAAGACATAAACGCCCTTGAGAACATGTTCCCATTTCAATAACTTGAAGAATCAATTTGTACCTTGAGAACATGGGAAAAACCAGACTGGTATACTGAATTACGCGCAATCTCACAAAGATCACATGCGCTTAATTTCCATACCTACAAAACAAAAAAAATGTTTAATGATGGGAAAAGGGCAAAAAGGGAAAAGTGTATATGCTTACAGAAGCAGCAATACTGTACTCCTCAACTAAGGGCTCCTTTGTGAGATGGATTTGTAAAGGGTCATCAGTAGATAGAGAGACATTAAGGCCACGTAGGAAAAACATTGGAAAAGGGTTTCGGTGATAATCCAGAAATAATGAGTTGTTGCTCAATGGTGACATGGCAAGACCAATCTGACCACAATATATATAAATTAGATAATAAACCAAAAACCAAAAAAGGAAAAAAAAAATGGAAATAAGTTATATTGTTTTGTGTTTTTTACCTGGGCAAGGTAGTAGAGGTATTGAAGTACAGGAGACTTTCTGAGATTGATCCCATGTGCAATGTTATGAGTTGTAAGAAATGCAGCAGCAAGATGATCAATGTCACCAGCCTTACATAAAATAAAAATATATATATATATATATATATATATATATATATATATATATATATAAATGTTTTATTTTTTACATAATGCAGAAAAAACAACTTGATAAATTAAAATATACCTCCCCACAATGAGGGCGGAATCGGATGGTAGTCATGCCTTTTGATTCGCGAAGCTGCAGCATCACATCAACATACTCAGAATTCATACCTTTCATGTATGTATGTATGTATGTATGTATAGATCTATAGTTACCTTGTTTAGGGTATAGAGATTTGCATAACAATAGTAAACATAGTATGAGAAGGCAGGGTTAAAGATATTGGTCCATTGCTCAGGTGTTGGCATGTGCTTTGTAGGGCGTCTTTCTGGCTTGCTTTCATCATCCACCAAATCCAATCCCACAACCTTAAATTTATCATTTAAGATTTAATTAAAAAAAAAGAATATTAAAATAAGAAAAACAAAAGTGAAAGAGAAAGAGAAGATAAGATATAATGATATATTACTTGTTTCAAGAAAACATGCAATTGAGGATGTGATCCTGGATCGACTGTAACCTCAAATAGAGGAAGGAATATGTTGTCAAGAATTGTCTGAAATGATGTCACAATTCCCATTTCTTTGTATATGTTATAAAGTCGAGGCAACTGCAAAAAAATAAAAATAAAAAAGTTTTATAAATCAGAAATTAAGCATGAAAAGATGAGAGGTTTTACACTTTTACTTTTAAATTTTAATTAGTACCTGAATAAGCCAGACAACATTATCACTATAGAGTTCATTGTTTACAATCCAACTTGCTAAATTATCCCACTCACTTTGCTTTCTACCATATATGGATATTCTGTATTCAGCCATCTGTAAAACCAACATTATTAAAAACAAGATTATATAATAAAATCATAAATGAAATTATTAAAGAGAGGAAGTTGGATGAGGATCTCACTTGATATTTACTTGCATCAAGATCAGCAAATACTTGTTTGGTTAATTCAGCAAGAAACCGGCCTGAGAAAAAATAGTTTATTAAAAATTATTTTATTCAGATTGGAATGTTAAAATTAAACCTAGTACCCTGGATTAGATTATCTTGTTTCAAGAAAATCTCCCTAAGTCTACTTTGACCACAGGGATTGTATTTGAGATTGAATTTGTCAAAACGATGAAAAGTGCTTTTGTCTGCATGAACATCTAACAGGTCAACATTGAGGTCATATCTGCATCAAGAATTTTTAAATATAATCAGAAGACTAATTGATTATAAGTTTATAACCATTTTTATTGATAAAGAAAAGTTTTTTTTTTTTTTAATACCCAGTTAAATCCAAGCTCTCAAAAACCTCTCTTAATGTCAGATAAGTTCCATCCCGAAATATTACAACCTGCAAAAAAGCACAAAACAGAAATTTAGGGATTAGGGTTTTAGGGTTTGATAAAAAAAATCAACACCAGATAAAAGATTATTACCTCATCAGGTTCTTTTCTCAACTTGGACTTGATGAATCTCAAGAGATGTTTTTGATTCATGCATGCAGAATGATGAACATGAGTATCGACTTTTCTAACATTATAAAAGTCACGATGTGGTGCACTTTTTTGAGCTAGGAATTCTTTGTCAGCATTTAGCATCAAATGAAGGTTGAATTTCTTGATATATATATAGAAGAATATCAAAGTCAGATGAAACTTATCCCACAAAAATAAATGAAAAACATAATAATAATTCATAATATCCACCTGTTCAAGGAGACCAAGCCTGTGATGACATACTGTTCGTGTATTTCCAGCAGCAATCACTTTAAGGATGTGATGCAAATCAGTGAAAAAAGTTGTTGCATCAACAACAGGAAAAAGCTTCTCTTTTGCTGAAAAAAGAAAACAATTAGAGACACTACACTACTCCATGTTTATAACAAATCATGGGTTTTACTTTTAGTCTTACAATTTTTCGTTGCATAAACATGAATGACTCCATCTTCCATTTCAAAGTAATGCTGTAGCAGTAGTAACACAATTAATATGTCATGTCAAGAAAAATTTATAATTTATAAAATGGTTTAGAAGAACTTACATCAGATTTAGTCTCAGGGACATAATCAAAAGGATTTGGATTGCGTTTTGGAGTGCTTGGATCAGATATGACCTCTTTCTCCCATGGAGCAATGCTTTCCCTGAAAACATAACTGTTTCTCATGTCAAGGCAAACTTGTAAAGCCCTGTAGACTTCTGCTTCATCAGGTGAAGGTGTCTCTGAAATAATCATAATTGTAATTGTAAAAGAATAAGAATAAGCTCACTTAGGTGTAGACACATCACACATATATGAAGTAGAAAGAGACATGAGTATTGAGTAGTGTAAATACCATGTGGGCTGATTTTAAGTCTGACAAAAGTTTCATGCTCTGGTTC